TTGGGTAATTATCTGAGAGAAATCGAAATAAATGAAAATCACTAATTACCCTCCTCGCTTATCGCTTACTACACTTTTAGGCTACGTCGCAGTCGGGTAAAAGGTAGCTGTTGATTCTAACCTCAAAAGTATTGTTGACGTTATTATAAAAATCGTGGCTATTTTGTATATTGTTATATTGATTTTCAAACGGGATGGTGATTACAACAAAAAAAATTGGCTATAGTTTGTTATGGGGCATGGAAAATAAAAGTCAAGTCAGCTCCTATAGAAATGTGGCTATTGTACTTTAATAATTATTATTTCATTGAAAAATTTTAACAATATACTATACACTCATACTTTTTATAACGACTTGTGTTCTTTTCCATCTTATCCGTGATCATCAGCCCGTAAAAGTTTATCTTTCCTAAATGAGGCCTTTCAACAATCGGCAATCAGTTGTTCGTAGGCGGCGGTCGACACTTACCAGAAGGTGAGCCGCATGGTCGTTAGCCTCCTGTTGCAAAAAAGACAAAGAAAAATGGCAAGAAATTCACAAGTAGATTATTTTCATTATATATATATATACAACTTAACCTCATAAAGTGTATACATTACTAAAAAAAAATTAAGGAAGCTCATAATATGTCCCCGTATTCTTACTTTTAAATTGTAGTATAGCCCCTACGACAATATATTTTTGTACTTGTATTGGTAGAATAAGCGAGTTCTTTTATAGGAAAAGGGTGACAAATTAGCACACAATCCACCTGATGGTAAGTGGTTACTGTGACATCTTCATCTATCCTCGATTGCAAATTAAAAAGCAGATGTATCAACCGTGTGGTCTAACATGGAATGCCTCGTTTCCAGTAAAAAGGGTCTAAGCCACCTTACGAAACACGGCAGCGTTGAGCTGTTATTTTACGCTGGTATTATGTGAGAGCGATAGTGATACTTCCCTGGTAGAGCCAACCCATTCATGCTACAACTATACTTCTAATATATATGCAGCATCTACCACGCTTTACACGTCTCTTCTCATTGACACCTTGCAACATTACATGGCGGCCCTACAGGCGGTGCCCTGCGATGTTGCACGTACACCGCCGTGGCCTAAAAATTTTTTGAAAGAAAAAAAATCAATGGACTAATAACTTAATTCAATTATTGAATTGACAGGTCACCATCTCGTTATTTTTTTAAGGAGATATTCTAATAAAGCCTATAATAAAAAGTAGAAAAATATAATGAAAATAGCAAAGATCAATTTAATTTTAGAAGACAAATATTACCAAATTTTCAAGGGTAACAAGAAGATTAAAGATATTTCGTGTAACATAAATTCAAATTATATACTGGTACGATGTTGCCTTTAATCTTCTTCTTTATTCTTATTGGCTTAGTATTGTCGGCTAACGCTCGCTGGGCTACAATTTCTTCTATTCTTCTTAAATTGGTCTCATTACTTTTTAACAAGTGATTAGTTTAATTAAACTACTAGACGTGATCTATCACACATCTCTTCTCATCTTCCAAGATTACAAAACAGTCATCTAATTTCAATATTCCTTCTCCATGAGAAAGCTTTTAACACGCGCTTTAAGTTTGTGCAAAGGCAAATTAGTAATATTACAGGGAATCTTCAAAAAGTTATTTAACGGATTTTTACCGCAAAAAAAAATGGTTTCATTTAATTTGTAGTGTTCGCGTATTATAAAAAATCAATAACACGTCTGCCCAAAAACGAGCCGCTAGTTGTAGTGACATTGAAACAACAAATACATGGTTTCTTACTCAAATAGTATTGTCCCTAATTAATTGTAATGCTACAGTTACTGTTTATTTCCTTAGAAAGATCTCTGAGTGAGTTTTGGTTTATTATTGTAAATATGACGTATCTCTCTTTTCTGGCGTCTAAATATATTTCAAGATCAGTTGCTGATCGCCACAATAAAATCCATATGCCATAAAGCCGTCAATACAGTTGAAATAAACCAATCACAACTCGCTATATCCACATCTGATAACACCCTTTTATACCTTAATCTTTATATATAAAATATCGTTTTTATTTTAAACCGATACGACGTACGGACCTCCAAGAAAAGAGCCTACACTTTTGAAAAGGCCGGCAACGCACCTGCGATTCCCTTGGATTTGCATTTGTTCATGGGCTGCGGTCGACACTTAACATCAGGTGAGAGCCGAGTGCTCGTTTGCTCCCTCTTCTAAAAAAACATGTCACATTGTTTGTACGTGATTAACTCCTAAATTACTGAAATAATTTCGAGAGATAGGATAGTTCTTGTCCCAATAAGTGACCCTAAATATTTTTATTGCGAATTTAAGGATTTTTAAAGGACCAAGTTTCATAGAAAAGGGTAGAGCAAAGTCTGCCTGCCAAGCTAGTCTATACTATATAAAAAAATATCTGTCTGTAATATTTAAATACCTTACTTCTATTCAGCTCAGGGTGTTGCTTGTATGTGAATAAGATATAAATAACCAATTTTAAATTGTTTGTCTGTCTTTCCGTGTGTCCGCGCTAAACTCTGGAATGAAGGAATGTGGTTGTATTGAAACTTTACGAACATATTAATATAGAGAGCAATGCCAGGGGAGATGTATATTTTATCCACAAAAAAAAAATTCAAGATATTTTTATGAAATAGAAAAACTGATAACAAATGAATTCAAGTATCATAAACTATAGGCAATATGAAAATCTGTTATTGTTTTGATACAAAATCGATTTTTTACATTTTTTAGTTAACATCATTTCACAAACGAAACTTTTATTAATAAATGATAGGGTGATAATATCTTTTTACGTGAAATTAATAAATCTTTAATTTTATTTTTAATATTTTCCCATATCGCACATAGTTTTCGAGATAATAGCTAAAGATTTGATTTTAAGTGTGTTTTTTTATAATTGAACTGCTTCTCCAAAGACAACTATTCCCATAGATTAGAAGGATTTTTTGTTTAAGTCTTTCGTGGACGAAATTGCGCGTACAAGCTGGTAGTTTGTTAAGGTAGTAAAAATTAAATGTAAATATATCAGTAAATAGTTTCAAACAATATTAAAATTGTGTGTAGAAACTAAAACAAATTAAAAAAAAACTATTTGTAAATCTAATTGCGCATGCCCTAAGCACATTAAAAAAATTACGTATAATATGATTGTACGTAATTTTTTTAAATAGTTTAATTACACACAAGTTTTCACTAATAACATTATTCTTATACTTCAAATTTTCCAATAATTTATGTCAAACTTCAATTTAAAAAAGTTTGGAAATACCAAAAGTGCACGACTCATAATGCTCATATTATGAAGATCATATCATCATTCATCATTCAGGTCACTCCATAAAGTCCAAGACGTATTTAAGTATAAATATACTTAAATATATACATCCTACTTACTTTTAGTGTGTATTAGTATTTTTATTCTATGCTTTTTAAATATTGTAATAAAAAGCTGTAATTATTATAATAATCAAGTATGTATGAAAATTGTTTTTTCGAATATTTTGTATTTGTACAAAGATCTTTTTCAGCCGTTGCAAACAACCGATACAGTATCCACTCACTACGGCGGCTCACGCCCAAGTGAGTGAGGTAGTCTATTTAGTAAAATAAATTATTACAAGGCTGCTAAAATACCCAAAATTTCCGGATTTCTACGCCGAAAAAAATTAATTATAACTAAACAAAAGAAAATTAAACTGCCATTTACTTTCCAAGGCTTCCCACATGATAGATGAAGAATTGTTTTTGAATTAGTAGTTTATTAATTGTTAGTGGATTAATAAGTTCAACAATCATTTATATTTCTGACAATGTGCAACATATCTATGTTCAATATGATTGTTAGATACGATTTTATGCGACAAAACGTTGGAATCTTGATTTTTTAGGCGCTAGTACATAACAACAAATAAATAACATACCTACGCGGTTTTCGCTTAAGGCATGCAATAATAAGCAAAATTAGTATATGTATAACCATATATTGGAGTTGAAATAGTAGCGTAGTTTATAAAATTAAATTAGGTCCATAATGATAAAGCATCAAACCATGACAACGTCCTTAATACAACAGAAGAAAAAGATATTAATATGCGAACGAAGTCGCGGGTACAACTAGCTCTGTAGTAAGATTTTATATTTAAAAATTCACTTAAAATGGATATTTAGACGGAAGTTAAGCTCGCTACTGCTCTTATTTCCTACTTCCTAGCATACTCGAGATACTAGATAAAGATTCATAATAAAATATAGAATAAATCCTCTGAAATTAGTTCTTCCAATAAAGTGTTCAAAGAAAACCTGTTATTATTAGACTGTTAAGCTCGCTAAGCGCGCGTTGCCTTATATTTATGCATAAATGCAAAACTGTTATGAATTAAATAAACTTTGAAGGAAAGATAACACTGATCGGAAAATAATGAAATTAATTTCCACATAATAGCTTCTGAAGCCCGTGATAAGACATTTTCGAAGTGGTAGAGACATTCTGCAGCTATATTAGTAGTATAGTTGTAACACAAATGCCGCAATAGCCACCAAGGCCGTCTACACTATGTCAGAAGGAGTCGTGGCGGAAAAAATCTTACACTTTCTCTCGCCTAGTCCCCATCCGCCAAATACGTACCGTCCGATAAAGAATTTTGTTCCAATAATAATATAGTCTATATTAGTAGTGTAGTTGATGCACGAATAGGTCAGCTCGACCGGGGAGGGACAACGCTCTCACAGAAAATAAGCGTAAAATGGCAGCTTGATACTGCTGTGTTTCGTATGATGAGTGTAAAGAACCAGAGAACCATTTTACTGGAAAAGAGGCATTCCATCTTAGTCCTCACGGGTGACGACGCATCTGCATTTTGATTCTGTTGTAGGTAGTATCTAATAAATTCAAATGATAATGTTGTAAAAGTAAAGAGAGACTACCCTCTTTATAATAATCGCAATATTATTTATGGTGTTACTTAAACTATAAAATATTATAACATTGTGTCAGGTGTGGTAAATTCGTGGTAAATAAGTACTTGAAGTAATAAGAAGTGTAATGAAAGTAAAGTCAGTTTTGTATTATTGTTTATACTAAAACTGGTAAGCAATGCCTATAGTAAAGAGGAAAGTATGACGCATGATTCGTTACAACAACCGCTGCCACTAGCACAGGAGGGCATACTTGGCAACGAATTGGCGAGAGTGGAAATCAGCATTTGACTATTTGCTATTTATAATTGCTTCGTTAAGAGAAACAGCATCTTCTAAAGAGAAGTGTGCATTATTTATGCATGTTATCGGCAAACAAGGACGTGAAATATATGAGGAGCTTGACATCAGTGAAGTGGAAAGTCATGACTACAACAGATCCTTTATTGAGAATAAATTTAGATGTCTATGCGCCACAGCAACCACTTACCATCAGGTGGACTGTGTGCTCGTTTGTCACCCTATCCTATATTAAAAAAATAGTGTATTGAAAAACTAAACCACGCTTTTCTGAAACTATTTTGTGGAATTTTTTTTTTGAAGTGATACACCTAACGTTTACGTACGTTTTGTTGTAACGTTTCACCGCCGGGCCTTCATGTGTGCTATACTATAATATTACCTATTTATGTAAAATATAATATAAAAGAAGAATGATATATCGTATAAAAGTTTCACTTCGTGTGCATGTACACAACTACACGCACAATTTTTATTATGTTTGTATTCGGTCTTCCTTTTTAAAGTTTATGTCTCAGGAATATTACAACTTCAAGACAATAACATGTCTTTCCATCCTCAGGGAACAGAATTTTTCATAAAATTTATATTAAACCCGTGAAGTGTACCCGTTATTAAAAGAAGAATAATTTAAACCGGTTACCGAGAAATCGATGAACATACTAACATACGCGTAGAATATAGTACTATCTCGTTTCTTAGATATAGGTATATAAAAATAAAACATTTCCTTATTTCAAGATAAAACTTTACAATTATTGAAAAAAAACCCTGAATATGTGTGTAATCTACAACCATGCCAAGTTTCAAAATGAATACAGCACTTTCAGAAACTGTGTACAAAGAGACCAACAGACATAATTACAAAAAATGTCTGACTTCTATATCGACAAAGAAGAACAACGCATTTAAAATAAAACATCAATGTACAGATTCACTAATTTATTTATTCATTATACACACAATTTAATTATACAAAACTTGGATAGATATTGACAGGAAAATGTGGTGAAAGAAACAATTGAAGTAAATTTTTCAAGTAATCGCAAACTCTAGCATTTGTTATTACAATACACAATATTAAATAAACTAAATAGCTTACTTTAAACAAACACAGGCAGTAGTTGCGATTTCCACTTACTTATTTTCTTGACCGATAGTTATTGAATATCAAAGTATCAGTTTGTGAACAACAGACAATAACCGTCATGCAAATGTTAAAACAGCTTTCCGTTCGCTCATTGTTTGTGAAAATAAGCCAGCTATTACAGATATTCTTCGTTGTATATCAGTTACAATAAAGAGAAACTTTTCTCTTTATTGTAACTGATATACCTATCTTTCTTATATTTACGCGAAACTAAACATTAAATGAAACAAATTTTACGAATTTTGTCGTGTTTAATTTTACCTTTTTAATTCTCGACGTTTGTGCGACTATGTGTGCAGTAAAGCACCTGAAACGTTGAGAATTAAAAAGTTAAAACTAAACACGATAAAATCCGTTAAAGTAATTTAATCTAAAAACTTTTAAAATTGCTTAAAGTCAATCCTTACTTATCATTCATTAATTAGCGGTTAGACAAATAAGTATTTTACAAACACAAAACAACTAACTGTGCTCTTCGTCAACGTTTCTAGGTTTGTGTCTTAGGTGACATTATAAGCCCCAATAGATACTGGTTACTAATGCCGAAATAACCAAACGCTACTCAATTTTAACATCATTTTAAAATTGAGTTACACTTTGAGTATTGGTCCATTTGGGCATAAGTCTTATAGAGGCAATAGAATCAAAGCCAATTTATACCGGGCTGACGTTACTAGCCTTTTACATCAATGTACTGGAGTCACAAAGCTACGTTTATAAGTTCAATAATTCAGCAACATCTATATAACATGGTATTAGATTTTTTCATTAAGAAGCGATACCCACTGGGCAGTAGATGCCTAGCATATACTTAACTTGTACGTCACAGATTTTAAGACCCTTATACGTAAACGCTAGCTTGATTTTGATTTTAGATTTTTTTTTAATATCGCTAGGTGTGCACCTTTCAAAATTAGGAAGAAAGAACAAGAATAAACACAGTTTAGGTTTTTATGCTTCTCAAACAAATTTACACAATATTTCATAGAATGGAATCTCCCTACATGTTGTTTAAAATTATCGATGCAGTGAAAATTTTCATAACTTAATTATTACTAAAAGGGTTGGTTACTAAAATTAACTATCCCGTCCTGGAGCAGGCAGAGTGAATTAATTATTTCACGGTAAATATAGTTTATAGTTTGTTTGAAATTACCAACTGCAGGTTAAGAGCTGCAAATGTCCCTAATATTCGGACTATAAGAGTGGCTGTAAAGGAAGGCATAGCACTCACCTGGACTTTCACTGAGCTGCCTCGTGTGTCCAGGGGCTACGTTGCACGAGGTTGAGAACTTGTGTAAACCCCGTTTTAACATACTAGTGCTAGACATAAAAGATTAACAAATTTCACAAGCGTTAATTGGTAGTTGCAAGTGAATGGTGCGAAAAATGGTAGTCGCTCGGACTAAGTCTTCGCATAGTGTCATCGAGAAAAAATAGCCACCATGTTTCGTATAATACTTTTTTATTACATTTACGCTATATAATGCGAAAAAATATCCTCCTGTTTCTATTTTGATTTGGTCATCTTTTCTTTTAAGTTTAACTCTACTTGTACTATTTAAGTATATACATATATTTTATGATGTTTATGTATTTATCGTTTACATTTGATGTTTTCAATGCATTCCAGATGTTTTGTATTTTTGCTGTAGTCGATAAAGCCGACGTATTGAGATTTATTTAATTAATTGTATTTTTCTAGTATTCGTTCTAGAGTTGGTATGTGGTCAATTGTCCTGAAACCTGAGCAGAAACCTGCTTGTTCTATTGCCTGAGAAGCGTCAATTTCTTTTGTAATTCCTTTTAGTGTGATAGATGTAAAGATATTAAACATACTTATCAGTAGACTTATGGGTCTGTAGTTTCCGATATCTAACGGGTTTTCTTTTTTATAATTTAATATGATGTCAGATGTACACCATTGCTTTGGTACCATATCTGTGTCTAATATCATATTAATATTATTGTGATGTTTGTGCTGTTAGCCTATGCGGCTCTTATATCAAATCTGACAAAGCTTTGAAATATTATCATATTAAGAGGTGTATCAAGTATCTAAGTAAGATAGAAGCACCTAATTTAAGGGCTTCGCTTATTAACCCATCAACCCTGGACTTTTTTATTTTTAGTATTTTTATATGCGAGAGTATTTCTTCTACTTCTTCTAGCGGTTTAACTGTAGTTACTCTGGATTTATTATCAATTTCTTCTTACAATATACGAGTATTCTTATCTTCCTTCTTTTTGTATTTTTTTTATAGGAGAGGGGGCAAACGAGCATGCGGCTCATCTGATGGCAAGTGACTACCGCCGCCCATGAACAACCGCAACACCAGAGGAATTGCAGATGCGTTGCCGGCCTTTTAAAAAGGAGTAGGCTCTTTTCTTGAAGGTCCCTAAGTCGTATCGGTCCGGAAAAATCGCTGGTGGTATACTATTCCACAAGGAAGTTGTGCGAGGAAGAAAACATCTTCTAAATCGCACAGTGGTGGACCGCCAATCATCCAGATGGTGTGGATGGTATCGGGAGTTCTGCCGCGATGTGCGTTTGTGAAATTTGGCGGCTGGGATTAATCTGAACAATTCCTCAGAGCACTCTCCGTGGTAAATGCGAAAGAAAATGAAAAGAGATGCAACATCTCTTCGCAGCGCCAATGAGTCGAGCCGATCGGAAAGGACTCGGTCGTCGACGATTCGAGCCGCTCTGCGCTGGATGCGGTCAAGTGGAAGGAGCTGGCACTGGGGAGCACCTGCCCAGAGATGGGAACAGTATTTCATGTGAGGCCGAACCTGCGCCTTGTAAAGTTGCAGGCGTTGTGCCGGCATGAAATACTGTCCCGCTCTGCTGAGCACGCCAAGCTTTTTAGAGGGCAATTTGGCCATCTCTTCCAAGTGACCACGAAACTGCACGTCATTAGACATGTAGACGCCGAGGATTCCGATACTGGCTGAGGCAACAAGAGGAGTACCTTGAAACTGAGGAGATACGACAAAGGTGTTCTTTTTAGCGGTAAACGCGCAATCTTGTGTCTTCTGAGGATTAAACTGGACTAGATTTAGTCGCCCCCTATCCGAGACTTTGTCCAGCAAAGACTCGACTAGAGCATCACCAGTGCTGTCATCCGCATAGCAACGAATGCTACTGGTTTGCAACATATCATTGATATGCAGAAGAAACAGCGTTGGTGATAGCACGCAGCCTTGTGGAACACCAGCGTTAATAGGCTTGTAGTCGGAGCATGCACCGTCTACAACGATCTTGATCCTCCAATCTGCAAGAAAGCTGGTGATACAATTGCATAATTTCTCGGGAAGCCCATAGGAAGGGAGCTTCGAAAGAAGCGCCTTGTGCCAAACCCGATCGAAGGCCTTCGCAATGTCCAAACTAACGGCCAATGCCTCCCCCTTGGACTCTACTGCCTCCGCCCATCTATAAGTTAAGTAGACCAGCTGATCGACCCTGACGAAAACTCGATCGACACTAATCAGCTGGTGATCCTCAAGGTACCGCATGAGGTGACAGTTTATAACGGATTTCATTATTTTGGAGAACAAGGGGGTGATGGCGATAGGCCTATAGTTGGACGGGTCTGAGCAGTCGCCTTTTTTAGGGATCGGGTGGACAAAAGCTGTCTTCCATGATTTCGGGACTACGCCTAGGGAGTAGGAGTACCGGAAAAGACGCGTTAGGACCGGTAACAACTCCGGAGCACAC